TATCCCTGACTCGTAAAAGGAGACTTAAAAGGGAAGGCAGAACAGCAAAACAAGGGGCATCAAAACCACCAGAACAGCTTGAGATGGGACTTTTCCAACCAGGTAGCTATTCCAAATTCCCTGTGCTCCAAGAGGAGTGTGCTCTGAGCAGCCCTGCAGAACTCCGGGATGCTCAGAGTAGTAAAGACCCGAGGCAGCAGCAGCTGATGTCTCCCAAATTGTCTGGCTCTGATGGCAGCAGATGTGTGGCCTTAGACTCTGTAAACTCTTTTCTGCAAGTTCAGTGTAGCACAAAAACACTTAAAAAAAACCCCACCCAAACTCCAGAGAGGGAGGGATCGGGTGATGAGAGCAGCTCTCTGGACAGTGATGAGGACCTGGATAGTGCTATCAAGGACCTGCTACAGTCTAAAAGGAAGTTAAAGAAGAAACCCAAGGATGAAAAAGCTCAGTGCAAGAAGAAAGTCAGGTTCAGTGAGACGGAATCTCAGCTGCTAGATGAGTTCAGTAACCTCCAACAAAACGAGTGGAAATGTAAAAATCCCTCACTGCTGAAAAGCTGCCTCTCAAAACCTCGGAAAGCTGTTAGGAACCCTCCAGACAATGTCAAACTTTCCATTGACAAACCAGAAACCATGAAAAACCTGGAGTTTAACTTACAGCTTAAAAAAGGCAATAAACCTAAACCAGTTTCAAACCAGCGGGGAGCTAAAAATAGAAAATGTACTTTCCCAGCTGTGTCAGAYGCCAGTGACAGCAGCTCAGTGGACAGCGATGACAGCATCGAGCAAGAAATCAGGAGGTTTTTGGCAGAAAAGGCTAAAGATTCTGCAAGCAATTCAGAGATGCAGAAAGGTGATGCAAGTCTGGATCTGTTTAGAGCGACGAAACAAACTGGCAATAAAGGAAAAGCAAAGCAACAGCTGGTGGAAAATGAAGTGGATCTCATGCTGGGTCAGAGTAAAAAGACTGAGGTGTCTCAGCAAGCTGAGGAGTTGAAGAACTCTCAGAGAACAGAAGGGAAAAGTGCAATGTTACCTGGCAGTGGGAAATGTGCTCCCTCTGCAGAGAATGTTCCTACTACTGGTCAGTCAAAAGCTAAGCAAGGACTGGGAGGGGTCAGAGGTGGTGCTGCTGGAGAGTTACCTGGGAATGCAAGRGGTAAAAGGAATGTCCGTGACACAGAACCCCCAAAACCCAGCAAAAGCGAAGGGTGTACAGTACGGAAAGTCATGAATGCAAAGCCCAGGTCTAAAAGGAAGAATACCTTCCAACTAAAAATCTCCAGTAAATTTATTGCAGGTCTGAAATACGCCCGGGACAGGAAGAAATCAATGCTTTTGAACAAAAAGCAGAAAGCAGAGTGTTTGYTCACCCAGAGCAGCACCCTGGGAATGGAGGCAGCTTCTCAGGACACAGATATACTTAACCCCTTGCCAAAAGGCAAATTTAGTGGGGAAATCACACCAGCAATAAAAACATCCAGTTCTTCTCAGAAACTCACTGTTGGAGGGGCAAGTCCCCATGTAGCAGAAATGTSTGCAGGAGCTGAGGCTGCTCCTGTGTGTCTCAGAGAGGAAGGCGAGGGTTGCAGGAAGACTGATGCTCCCGGGGATCAGTCACACTCCCACTCCAGCCTCCCCTCACAGGAGCAGAGTGTGGCAGCAGGAAAAGCTGATAAGGTTTGCAGAGGAACCTCCAGAGCTGARAACACACAGATGTGGATCGAGGAAGGAGATATCCACAAAGGCAGCTGGACTTTGTCAAATGTGGATCCCCCACSCCCTGAGTGCAGTGTGGGAAAAGCAGATAAAGCCAGCAGAGACCCAGCTCAGCAGAGTGCTGAGGTGTGCAGTAAGGGAGGGAATAACCAGCTGGACAAGAGGCCAGGTCCAAGTTTAGCTTGCCCAAGGCAGGAATTCAAAGTGACAGCAGCAGCAGTGGATAATAGAGATAATAGTGGAGGAGCATATGCAGATAACAGTGTGCAGATGTGCATTAAGGAAGAAAAAATTGACAGGCAGGAAGAAATTCAGGTATCCAGCTCTAAAATGGAAGGAAAAATACCTGTCCTGCAGAACAGGGAAACTGCTAGTGAAGTGCACCAAGGGCAGGAATTTTTAACCAAAACCTGTGCAAAATWTACTGACCTACCTGCAGGGGACTGCCCAAGTTCCCTCTTGGAAAAAAAGGTTTCAAATATGTAAGTACTTTTTTTTTTTTACACTAGCAGTCTTTTTATAAAATAACTCTCATTGTAATTACTTTGATAAWACTTGAGACAGGAAAGCAGAGGCAGTGGGAGATGCTGATACCTGTATATCATACACACACTAATGTGAAAATAATTCTATTTAACAGGGATATCATGGATAGATATACGTAGCTTTTGTAGAATTTTGTAAATTATTTAAAGTGCTCTAAGGAAATATTTTTTATAATGATTTTTAGAGCTTGCATTCCTACAGGATGCTGTAGTTACTGTAGATAAGATATTGGCTAATCACATTTTAAATTATGAGGCCTCGAATGGTCTCTCAAAGGGAAACCTGTTTGCGCACAGAATTTATTTGGGAAGCTGTTACCAGATCCTAGGAAAACAAAGCCTCGGATAGCAGTGCAGATGATCTGACASTGGTCACATTCGAGCTGCCTTAGGACAATCCTGTGGTGTGGGTTTTTGTGGGGGCTCAGTTTTCCCACCCTGAGGACTGTGGGATGAGGTCCCTAAGCAGAACTGCGGTGYGGCTGTGGGTGTGGAGATCCAGCCTGGAAGACACAAATGCAGATTCAGGTAAATCAGGTGGATGGCTCTGTCTGCAYGTTCTGGGCAAAGTGATCTCAGCAGCTGCTCCAAGTCCTTTTGAATACCCAGAACTTCCTGCTCACAGATGAKTCCAAGCAGTCCAAGACAAGTGAAGGAGCGTGTCTGTTCAGACAACATGATTTCCCTGGATTTCCCTGGATTTCCTTGGATTCCTGTACTGTTGGGCCTGCAGGGCTCAAACAATTCCTCATTATTCTCAACTATCTCATTTTGATGCCCTGCAGTTACCCAGAGATGGCTTTTGGTTTCCTCAATGAACTTTCTGGAATTGAGTGCTCTTAATTTCCCTTTTTCAGAAGTGGTTTTTAAAATGTTACATTTCTGTGAACTTYTCACTGACAATTTTGGTGCAATAAAGCAAAACCGGGTTTGCTGTAGGAAGCCACAACACAAACGCCACGGATATTTTCAGCACTGTTCTTTCTTCAGGCTCTTTCTCTGCCTSCCTTTCCAGCAGCCAGAATAAAGCAATTTTTCACTACTATCTTTTTATTCGTACTGACTTGAAACGGGATTGAAGTAGCACATTCACATCACACCAAAAAAAAAAAAAGTGCCCCTACACACTGGTTTCTCTTCAAATTCAAAAGGTGTAAATTGGAGCTGTTGGTTCTTTCATTTTCATTTGTGTGTAGTGAAGTCCTTGGAGRAGTTTGTTCTCACATCTTGTCCCTGTGAATTGATCTGATATTCTCTTTGTCTGGTCTTCTGCAGAACTTCTCTCAGCCAAAACCACCACTTAGCATCACTTTGTTTCTCAGTCACTTCAGGAGTCTTCCTCCAGGCTGGCCTTAAAYTTGCAAAATGGAGCAAAAGCAGCCAAGACTGGATCCAGTATCCCATGGTRTCCCTGGTGTGATGCAGAATATGGGCAAAATACGGTGTAGCATAGAGTAGTAACTGTGGCATGTAGAGAAACATCCTTGGTGTGTTTATGCTGTTGTGCAGTTACATTTGAAACATGTTTCTAGTGCTCACTTGRCATTTCTGACTGTCCAGCCACCTTTTTGTAGCCCTTGGGTTGGCTGGCCGGGTTGTTTAAAGGTCAGTGTGTTTTCTCATCTCCATTTTGTGGTAGGATACCTTGGAAAAGTGTTTTTGACWTAGCTCAGTGCCTGCAGTCCCTCTCCACAGGTTTATTTTTTGCTCTGCCTTGATTCTGTTGCAGGATTTGGGCCTTTTGTTTGGAATAGGTCAATAGGCTGGTATTTTAAATTAGAAGTTTTCCAAGTACCTTGCTTTAAAAGGATTAAACTGTATACTTAATTTTCCTAGGGATGTTGGAAGCACTATGTATTGTTTGTATAAAAGCTGAATGTTTCTCCTCAAAAGTTTTCAGTAAATCCTCATTAAGACTGAAAAGGTGTCTTGTGCCCCTGTYGCTGTGTCTGTGTCCTCAGTACCACTCGTGATCTGATTCACTTTCAGTGAAGATGCAATTCCAGTTACCTTGTGCTTTAAATAAAAACCTGATTTCAAACAGCACTTTTTTTTTTTTAAATTGATGAACTTGATTTGTATATAGGAAATSGTGTACATTGCTGAGTTTCTAATGTTTAATAAATGGGGTTCTGCCCATGGACCATGAAAACAGAGTGCTCCTCTGGTTTGTGTCATCATCTTGAGCGAGTAATAAGTTTTGTGTTTCCCTTTTCTTCCCTCCTGGCTGTAGTCTGAGGATGTCATTAATTCTTTATAACAAAAAACAAAGGAGAATTTACAGGATGTAGGCAAACAAAGGGTGGCTTTTGGCAGAATGGTGTTTGTGGTAGCAGAACCCCTAGAGCAGTTTTCTCTCCTGGTGCTCCTGGTCAAGAAGTGGAATATTTCCCTGTGTAACTAAATGTGTGTGAAGGAACATCTCTGGAGTTGGGACGACAGCCAAGAGAGTGCCATGGCTSCAGTGACAGTGTCCTCATCCTGCCACAGCTCTCATCACTTGTTCAGAAAACAGGTCTGGTGGTTTGGAGCAATATGAAATCCCTCTTCCACAGCAGGAAAGGCTGACCAGCTGAGAAATTGTTGAGTGGGAATAAATTCATGAGCAAGAGTCCCACATGTGGTACCAAGGCTGGGACTGCAGCACAAATCTCTYAAGGCTGAACCTTCATAGATGCAGTACCAAAAGCAGTTTTTATTTCCTGTTTRTAATGCCCATGACAGACACAGATTGGGCACAGAGTGCACAGCCCTGCTGAAAAGAGGTTTATTGCTTMATTTTTTACCCCAGTGACTGGTTTTGTGTGCTTTGGGAACAATCTTCAAGGATCCTCAAGGGACCCCAAGGACTCCCTTAATTTTTTATTACCACATTTTTGCTGTTATTTTAGGAACACGTGTTTTGACATRTAGCTGCTCTTTATACAAGGCAGGAGCACACCCTCCCTGCCCCCATTTCTTTTATTAATGGAGAATCTTYTAAATTTTTCATACCTTCAGTTTGTGATAATTCAGCCTCCCTCACATCATTTTATCTGCAAACGTGAAAATCTTCCTTTCAAAAGACAGACTAGAAAGAGATTGTTTCAGGTAGATTCTGTTTGGTAAGAGGTGTCATTTTTAGGATGAGATTTTGAAGTTGTACAGGTATTTCTTTTAAAAAAGTGTATTTGGTTGAACATTTAGAYACACTGCATACCAAACTCTTCAAAGGAACTGGTTTCAAGAATAAAATTGGAAGAAATTGAGGCAAGAAGAGGTGGGTGTTTTCAGATGGAGTGGGAAAATATGTGACAGAATCCACTACATTTATRTTTTTAAGAGGCAGCCTTATCCCTAAATTATGCCACCTGCACAAAAATCTGTGGGTAAAAATACATGTAACATTGTCACAACTATTGATTCAGCACTTTGTATTTTCTCATTTCAGGAGAAGAAAGGGAAGTTCTAAGAAGCTCCAGGTATTGTCCAGAGTCTAATGCAGGAGTAATAGCAAATGAGAGAGGGTTGSTTATTTATTTTCATATGTTAAATCTTTTAAATGTTAACTTTTCAGGCCCATTTCTGCTCAGTTTATTTATCTRTCCCAAGGTGTTGGAGTGTTGGCAGCAGAAGGGGAATTTACCCAGGTATTCCTATGTTTGAGATAACCACATGCCACAAATAGGGAATATTTCAATTGCAGTTGTGTTTGGACATAATGTTACACTCATWATTTATATTTTTAGCAAACAGAATAATATTATGCTCTTTTTATTTTTATGTTACACCTATAAGGTGGGACTGTTTCTCATCCCAAAACAGGCAGAGTAGTTTCACTTAAAAACTCATCTTGACCCAAAAATATTCAGATGTTCTTTCAGTGCAGTCAGTGTCCAACTGATGCAGTTTCTCTGCCTGTAACTACAGTTGTTCCAATAAAACTTAAAAAAAATGTTCTTTTTGATCACTTGTCATTATTTGAATAATTTCTTAAAACTTTGTTGTTTTGAGAAGAAATGTGAACTTTCTACAAGAAACCTAAAGGGTTAATGAATACCTCTGAAAAGCTTAAGCTTGATTATTCATTAAATAGTAGAGAAGCAGTTTAAATCTTAATTTTTAATGATACRGGGTACATGAGCCAGGAGTGTAAAGGATTATTAATGACAGGGGGGGATATACATAAGTAATGTATGTTGTCCTAGTATTTATATGCTACAGATAAATTAGGTAAAAGGCTTCAGAGCTACCTAACTGACATTTAACCACACTAAATCTTTAATATATTACTCCTAACGGGTACTGCTRGAGTGTTCCGTTTAGTCTCAAGGCTGGCTGGTTTTAGTCTCAAGGTGCTTTTCCCGAGCCCAGCAAAGCTGCAGTGGCTTTATCGAGTCCTCGCTAGGGCTGGTCCCTGCAGTGCGAGGGGCCGTTGGGGTTGTAGCTGGGGTGGAAGTCCATGTGCTCGTAGGCGGTGATGAAGGTGTCGGAGCCCGTGCAGTGRCTCGTCTCCACGGCCGTGTTCAGGCCGTGTCTCCTGCTCATGCCAATCTTGCCCAGATGATTCGAAAACGTGTGCGACAGRGGGTGGTACGAGTTCTGCGGGTGGCGAGAAAAAAGGGGGATGTTTTAAACGCCACCTGCAAAGCCTGGCTGCGGCACGGATGGATGCAGATAAGGACAGAGGTGTTTCCATCCGCATCGGGCGCTCAGTGCAGAGACCGAACTCGGCCGTGCCGTTGCCGGGAGCCCCCTGGGTCACGTACCGGCAGCTCATGCACCGTGGGGGCCTTGTTGCCGTAGGTCTGGTTGGAGGTCCGGAASCGGGGRTGAGCCACCGGYGGCTGCCTGCGGGGGGAGAGGACATGTAGCGCGGGGAGCGGGGCGGCGGGGGCCGCGCCCGGGGCCGCGCTCACCCGTAGCCGCTGTACAAGGTGAGCTCCTGGAAGCGGCGGGGCACCTCCGCGTTGACGCTGGACATGGCGGAGCCGCCGGGCGRGGCCGGGCCGCGGGGATGGAGCGTTACCCGGCGACGAAACGCGGAGGGTGGGGAGCAACCGCCCCGAGGAGGGCACAGCGCCCGCTCCGCCCCGCAGGAAGCGGAAAGCGCCGCTGACCTTCCCCCGTCTCCTCCTCCTGCTCCCCGTCCGTGCCCTGCGGCGGGCTCGGAGCATGGCGGTGCCGCGGTTCCTGCGGGCAGGTGAGCGGAGATGCCCGGTCCGGCCCGGCCCGGTGCGCCCCGGCTCGCCCGTGTGACCCACGCGTTTCTCTCCCGCAGCAGCCCCGCGGCTCTACAGCACCGTCCCGGTCCCGGCCACGGCCACGGCCACGGCCCCGGCGGCGACCCGACCCCGCGGTGAGTGCTGCCGTGCACCCCGGGAAAGAGGGTCCCCAGAGCCGGGCACTGCWCCCCAGCCCATGAGCGATGCCGTGCCGGTGGCACCGCCTTGCAGCAGCTGGGGGCTTTTCTGCAGTCCCGGCTCACCCCCCGAAATACAGTGATTATTTGTTTCCCCTCTCTCAGCTGACGATGACAAGCTGCTGACCGAGCCTCTCAGYCACCCCGACTTCTTCAGCGTGAAGGAGCTCTTCACCCTGAAAAATCTCTTTGATGCTCGGGTGCATCTGGGACACAAAAAGGGATGTCGGCACCGGTGAGTGATGCTTTGTTGATCCAGTGTTTGTTGACATCAGGAATGCTTCCCTAGATTGGTCTGAGCCTGGAACTGCCTACACAGRGCAGGTGACAGGGTTTCCCTCCGGTGTGAGACTGGGACACAATCGGTATGAGGGCTCTTTGCAGGGAGCACCTCTGGTATCAGCCAGGAGCTGGAGCGTGGGACAGCTTTTGCCACACACATCCCCAAACCCTCAACCCCTGCATATCCCATCCCTGTATCCCCCGTGTCGCCCTCCCGCTGCCCCCGCAGGTTCATGGAGCCCTACATCTTCGGCTGCCGCCTGGATCAGGACATCATCGACCTGGATCAGACCATGCAGCACCTGCAGCTGGCCCTCAACTTCACCGCCCACGTCGCCTACCGCGGGGGCATCATCCTGTTCATCAGCCGCAAGCGCCAGTTCTGCCACCTGATCGAGAGCACGGCGCGGGCGTGCGGGGAGTACGCTCACACCCGCTACTGGCAGGGCGGGCTCCTCACCAACGCCCACATCCAGTTCGGCCCCGGCGTCCGCCTGCCCGACCTCATGGTCTTCCTCAGCACCCTCAACAACGTCTTCGAGCCGCACGTGGCCATCCGGGACGCAGCCAAGATGAGCATCCCCACYGTGGGCGTGGTGGACACGAACTGCAACCCGTGTTTGATCACCTACCCCATTCCCGGCAATGACGACAGCCCCGCGGCCATGGAGCTCTACTGCAAGCTCTTCAGGATGACCATCATCCGTGCCAAGGACAAGAGGMGGCAGAGCGAGGCCATGGAGGAGCTGCGGAGCAAAGCCCAGGGCAATTAGAGCCTCGGTGATGGTGTCCTGCTCCATTTCTGTAGGACTGGCTCTGCAGACAGAGCTGCCTTTTGGCAGAGCTGGCTGCTTGGGGAAGGGCCCCCCAGTCCTGTGTACAGTGATCCCACAGTGGTCACAGCCATGGAGGGTCTCTAGCTCCAAAAAAATTGTCCAGAGCAATGCAAAGGAAAATGGAGCCAGGCCAGACCCTCCTCCTGGGTTTGTCACTGTTGCAGGGAGACGCCGCTGTCTTGTGGCTTTTCTGAGCTCGTGATCTCACCTGAAACCACTTGCATCTTGCGCTTCTTCTTAGCAAATAAAGGGATTTTTACCTGTGGTCCTTTTTGGTTTTTTCCCTTGTGAAGTGGGGGGAGAGGCAGGGCAGTCAAGGCAATGGGAGCAAAAGGGATGAAGGATGTCCCCAACTTGGGGAGCCAGCAGGGTGGACGATGCATCACCCCAGTGGGGGTTGGAGGGTCCCCACTTTGTCCTGGGACACACTGGGATCAAACCTCTGCCACCACGGGAAGTGGGGGACTCCAGAAGCAG